AACGGGAAGCAATATTAGTATCCCCATTATACAGAGAGTTTAATGACTTCCCCAAGGCCATGAAGTCTAAAAGGTGCAGTGCTGGGATTCAAATCCAAGTACATCTCACACCATAGTCCACACTTGGTCCCCTTATCATGCTGTTTTACTCTGGTAATAACCATATTATTAACAATATCCAATCATACCCTGTGGCTAACAATATTGAAGTTATAATATTATTTAGCAAAAACATATGAGCATTAAAACCCATACCTACAAAAGCCCAAAATCCATCTATGTTATTTAATCTTTTTAAAAAACGATATTGGTAAGTGGAGGAGGTCCAAATTTCAAAGCATAATTTTGCTATGAAACCTTTAAAATCCTTACTCAAAATTGCACTCTCCTTATAATGCTAACCTTTAGCCTTTCATTTTTATCCTGATGGTGTAATAATTTCTTGGAAAAACTTACAGAAGGCTATAAAGAGAGATACTTTATATTCTTTCACATTGACTTTTAAACTTTTACCCCTTTTGACAAGTTGTTTCAAACACAAAGTGATTTTAAGAGAGAACCATGTATTTGATAGTCATTTCTATAAACCATCCCACATTTGATTAATTAAGAATGATAACAAACCAACTGGCCAATTTAATCAGCAGTAAAAAAAGTTATTTATTTTACATTATTAAGAATGAAGCTATTGCTAAAACTCAATATAAAACATTTCCCCATAAGATGTTTACCACAAAATTGTAATAGCATTTGTAATAATGCTTATAACCTTACCTTTTGCTATGCAGGTGTTATTTCTTTCTTGAAAATTCTGGTCACACACACATTTATATGATCCTTCCACATTTATACATTGTTGGGAACATGTGCCAAACACCAAACATTCATTAAGGTCTAGAAAAGAAGAGCTCAAAATAGCATCATCATACTCCCAATTCACACTCTCATTCTTTCCATGTTTCAAAAAAGGCCAAAATTACTTTTCTTACTTTAACTTCTTATTCCTATATCTGTCATTTTTTTTTCAATCTTAAGTCTTTGACTTACTGTGTTATATTTTTGGGGCCATAATTTTTTCAAAATAGTTTCACTAAAAAAAAATTCATCAATTGTTTCTGCATTGCCTATGTTAATTCCTTAAAATACTAAAATATCCATTTTAAACTTCTCTAGTATTTTTATTCACTCAAATAAACATCTCTTGAGGTTCTCTTTTAAGCCTGTTTCTGACTATCTACCTCCAGACCTTTGCACATGTCGTATGCTATTTCTTTGTCCTATATTGTCCTTGCTCACATTTACATACAGAAAGAATTTCTACTTCTCCCTCAAGATGCACCTGAAGTAAAGTCCTCCTTGGTCTCCAACAATGTCCTGGAATAATGATTCATCCCTAAGTTTCTCCACTTTTTGCTCTCCCGGTATTTCTTACTTACAACATCGCTCTTACTATATTTCAGAAATACAGTCATATATTCATGTCTCCTACTTGATTGTCAGTTCCTTGAGGACATAAATTATGATGCATTCCTTTTTTATTGCCACGTTTTACACAATGGCTGGCAGAGAATGAAGACATGAGTATACCTCAAACACACTTCTGGATTCATACATATGACTGTGTAACAAGAAGGGCTGTATTGAGCCTATGTGAATTAAACAAACAAAAATCTGTATGCCTATATAGAAATAAATACATCTAAATCACAAGCGTAAATACATAAATCATAAGGAATATTCTGTAGCTTGGTACGTGCCTCTAATTTTAGAGCTTAAGCAAAGCCAGGATTTAGGTCAGGTGATTCTGGTGAATTACCTACCTTCTCTCTCCTTTCCTCCACTACTTTTGCATTTAACCAACATAATTCCTCTGCCCCTTTTATCAATCATAGTTTCCCTAATTATATAACAAATCTAAGAGAGAAATTATTCCCTTCAATTAGGGAACTTAAAGATCATGACAATAATAACTATCTTTTGCTTAGCACACAATAATTGTAAGGGCTCAATGTTATAGATAAGGACTTTCCCAGTGACACTTGTAAGTAACAATGCCAAGGCTTAAACTCAGGTTTTCTGATTCTATTTTCTCCACTATGATACCTTGCCTAAGGAGAACTTAAGTATTTTTGTGACAATTCATCTCTGTGTTTGGTTGAAATATAGGATAAAGAGATGCAACAAAATGTATTTATTTGTTTTTAATGAATATTTTACATGGATAAAGTAATACACATCTTACAGCACTTAACCATCAGAATTACAAAAAATGTTTCTGATTTTTCCAGCACCTGCAACTGAACTGGAAGTTATTTGTTACTATGGTTTCCCTTTGGTATGAAATCCAAATAAGCAAAAATCTTCATGATTTGATAAAATCTCCACTCTTCGCATGTCCCCATATGGTCACCATTTTCCCCTCATCTCTATGATAAGGCCAGGATCATAAGCTTTTGAAGAGGAAGGAGGAAGCCGGCACATGCCTAGCACCCACAACAGTGCCTGGCACTCAGCAACTGTTAATCCCTTCCTACTTCTCTTCTGCCACTGCCTTTGATTTTTTTTTTACCCCCCTTAGATACTCTAATTGAAGCATCTGAGCTTGAACATCAAATAGCAATTTCTCATGCATTTTTTGAGATACACAAAGGCCACAAACAAATTTAAATTTTTTGATTACAAAATCCATGTAATGTCTTTCCCCTCCTCTATACCAAGTTAAAATTGCTTTCTTCATTATCAAAACTTCATTTATTAAATAAAGATGCCAATTTTGTTAGAGTTCAGAAGTTACTCATTTGCACAACAAAAGTGCATAAA